GGGGGGGGGGGGCGAGGTCCTAGTCTATCAAAATAAATCATGAGCAATGAGGAGAAAGCCACTTTAGGGCGATGCTAGCTGTGTATTTTATGAACTGGGACCTTTATATTCAATAAAAACCGTCAGTTGTCTGACCTTCACATAAATCGAACTTGTCTCCCTCCTCAACCTCTCCCACTGCTGTTCCTCCCTCCGCGCACCCTCCCCGCCCGATTCCATAGCTTCGCTCACCTCAGCCAGGCTGCCGTCATACAGGAGGTCATGGGTGAACCCCCTGTAAGCCTTGCCCTTCATGGTTCTCACAAAATCTCGGACCCCTTCAGCACTGAACCTGTTACCGTCTAGGCCGACAAATTTCACAGCTGTGCTAACCTTCAGCCATGCAGCTATGGCGGGGAGGGACTCGTCACGGATGGAATTGTACCGAATATCTACATGTGTCAGGATGGGAAGGTTGATAAAGGCTTTAATCAGTTCTCCTATATCAGACAACTTGTTATAACTAAGGTCCACCTCCTTCAGGTTCTGACATGAACCCAGACCTTCAGCAATACCAGGCACCGCCTCATCACTAATGCCATTGTCAAAGAGATCTATCTCCTCCAACAGGAGCAGGTGTTGAAACATCTGAGTTGAGAGTTTTATCATGTTGGCCAATGACCAGTCCTTCAGTTTCAGCTTCTTTAACAGATGCCGAACCCCATACAGCTGGTTGATGTGTTCAGCCTCCTCCTCCCCCTGACAACTGACACGAAGTGCTAACTCCTGCAGGTTGGGCAGCTGAGGGAGGAACTGCAGTAGAAGGTGGACATCACTAGTGCGTAGTGGGGTAGCATAGGGCCAATAAATTTTTCCAGATATGAGATCAAGTTTTGTTACCTGGCTAGCATCCGTTAAGTTACACAGGAGAGACACAAGGTCACCAGATACGTTTTCCCCAAACTTCAACTGCAGCTGTTTGTATTGTCCCAGTAGTAGCCACAACAGTACTCCCTTATTGGAGATTTTATTATTGGTGAGATGCACAATCTTCAAATTCTCACATAAAGATAGATATTTTGCAAGACCAGGCACCGCCTCATCACTAATGGCATTGTGACTGAGATCTATCTCCTCCAAGTTGGGGAGGGGAGGTAAGAAGTCTCCCATATCAGACAACTTGTTATAACTAAGGTTCACCTTCTTCAGGTTCTGACATGAACCAAGACCTTCAGCAAGACAAGACACCGCCTCATCACTAATGTTATTGTGACTGAGATCTATCTCCTCCAAGTTCGGGAGAGTTGGTAGTTGGCTCGAGAGTGGCAGAATGTCTTCACTAGACAAGTTGCAGTTGGCAAAACACAGCATCTTTAGTGGTGGAAACCTGCTAGACTGACCAACCTTTATAGATGATGGGATGGCAGGTAGCGACGACAGTCCTCGAAATAATGTCGACCATTCAGAAGATCTGGCCTTCACATATTTCAATTTGAAGTTAACTAAGCGTTCCAGATGGGGAAAAGACGATGAAAGCTTTTCAACGGCATCAGCAGTATCAGATGCTGTATTTGTTCCCCGTCTCCTGCCTTGGAGAACTAACATTTGGATGTCGGAAGAAAGGAAGGACAATACATTTGGCCAGACATTTGGCCGAGTTTTATACTGTAGGGTGAAACTTCTCACCCCTACTGTCGTATTGTATCCTACAAAGCGATACTCATTGAGTTCTGCATGTTTTAGGTTGTGCAGGCAGCTCAAAACAACCACGGCCTGTTGCATGTCGTCGCTGTTAACTTCATCTATTGTAATGACTATATTTGTGACATTCGGAGTGAATAACATTGATTTTGAAAGGTTGCCGAGGGTACCTGCTGTGAATGTTTTTGACCTCACCGTAATTTTCATCAAGGGTTGGCCAAACTGGAAGTATTGCTGTATTGTCTCAACGTTGATTTCGCGGTCATTTTTTGCAAAGCAAATTTCTGTCATGAAATCACGTTTGTCAGGAGCCGCACTTGACAGACACTCAAAAAGAGGCCAGTAGCTGAGATATCTGATTTGATTTGTATGGTTGGTAGAAGTGAAACGCTTTCGCCCAAGTGGATAATGCTTTAGCGCATCTTTGATACTTAGGTTTTCTGGAAGCCTTATTGTCTGAATAAGTGTTGTGTTCCTGATGAGTTGTGTCAAGCAGTGGAGGCCATGGAGGGAGATTTCAGGGAGAGCAGACAAGTCCAGGGTTTTAACTGGAAAGAGGGCCTTTGTCAAAGATGACAGAATACGTAGCTGCTTTGATTCTGCAACTGTCGCTATGACAGACAGTAAGCGGTTGAAATTGTCAGACCCTCCCTGTCGTTCAATGAGTAATCGTACGAACTGCTGCAGATGTGTTGGAGGAGAGTCTGTCCTGCTCAGGAGGTGAGCAAGACTGTAACAGGTGATGGGCAGGTGGTCTGAATTCTCAGCACAAACTCTCAGGAGGTCTGTACAGTCAGTCTGGGTTCTGAGTATGTGTGCTACCCAGAATGCCATGAGAGACTGTCGTATGCTGTCATGTACAAACTGGAAGGCACTCTGTGGTTGACAAGAATCAGCTGGTTGCAACAAACCAAAAGATGACTGTCGAATATCATGCCATTTCAACTGGCTTTTGTACACAAGCATGGACTGATTATCTGTATGGCTTTCAAAAGCAGCCTTCCCCAAAGTAAGAAAATGATTGGCATAAATTGACGCGAGCTTTTCATGGCTCTGGTCATGTTGGGAAGAGAATTGCTTAACAGACATCTCAGTAACAAATTCTACAAAAGCTGCTAGTGTATCAGGAAAGCTTTTACGATTTCTCCAGTATTCACACAAGTAAGAGTGGAAAAACCTGTCTCTGATGAGGTGCTTAACCAGTAAGTTACTTGGCCAGCTCTGCTGGATAGACCTTGCCGTGTCTTCATCAATCTTGAAGAAGTCTTGGATGCAGTCATTCCAGGCCAAGGCGTCGTCACCAGTTGGATACGTTGGCAGATTCGCGGTACTGATTTGTGATGCTAAAATGAACCGAATACTACGTTTTAAGCGGCCTAGATAATTTCTAAACGTCTGTAAAATACTTGCTCTAATTTTGCGTATATATTTTAACAGCACCTGATTTTTGCTTCTCTCTGAAGTAAAAAGATTAATCTAGAATTCAAACTGATTGAATACATGTAAAACAGAAAGTACTCTATTATGAAAAAATCATAATGGTAATCTTATGATATTCAATTTTCACTTCAATCAATGTTTATCTGGTACAAATCTAGTAGTACAAATCTTTAAGTCTAAATCATGAAATTAACTGGTCCTTTGCAAGTCA